TCAGCGTGCTGATCATAAAGATCGACAGCCGGTAGACCACATTTCTGGATTGGAAGTAGGAGGTAATCGTATTCTTCTTCTGGAGCAGTCTGAAATCATGTGTTCTAACATCCTACTGTATATAATCCGCTAAGTTTGTCTGTTGGTGTGTGTGTATGTACGTGTATCTTCATGTGTCGCTGACCGGAATTTCATAACTTCCTTTGATTTCACCGCAAGCAGTTCAAAGCTATGAGCGATGTGGGAGGTGGGACTATTGGTGGGTGGCAGGAAGTGATAACAACTGATAAGATACCATAAAAGGCGTTAGAATGGGTAGTCACCAAATTCATATCTTGGGCCACAGCACGATGGGACAATTTTTCCGATAGGTGATAGAGAGGGTAGGTTGGGAACAACATTGGTGGGTGGTAGGGACAACAGTGATAACAACTGAGAAGATACAATAAAAGGCGGTGGAAGGGGCAGGCCAACAAATTCATGACGCTGAGGACTTATTGTTCTTGTGTAAACCATTTCCAGCATTCGCTACTATATATTTCCTACAGCAGCTCAATAAATGAATGCTATGAGTTTTTGAGCGGAGTCAGTTCCCTCGTCCTACGTAAGTTCCGTTTCAGAACGCCGCGAAGGTTTCTCTATGGCGTTCTCGTCGCTTCGTGATGGGTCTTTGACCGCATCCGCAGCTGACCGGAAACCGAGCGACTCGTTCCTTTTGAATGGACCACACGACCGCAACGACCACAACCAGGTCGCCGTTTATTCAATTAAAAAAGTGGCTAGCGCAAACACCATCACGTCCACGGAACAGCCAAAGAATGGTTGAACTATATAGCGCAATAATGTTCGAATAAAACAAAAAATAGCATGCTGATATCGACTGGCACGTTATAAAAAAGACAAATACCCATAATATCCCCAGAAATGCGGCCGAAGGGTTGAGATGTGAGATGAGACTAAGACTCTTCCTGAGGCTGCCAATGGTAAAACTTATTTGATTGCTTCCAAAAAAGCTCCAGAGCGTAGTATGATTCGCACAATGACTGTAAGGACCAGCTGATGAAGAACTCGAGGTCTTTGTCCGTCCAGGAAAATCTGGTACCACACGAAGACTGGGAGAAGAGGAAAGGCAGGGGGTTGACTCGAACGGGAGCCGGGTTAACTTGAATGGGAGTGATCTGACTATGAGATTTGATTCTCAGACTACGATAGGTGGCAGATATTTCAGAGCGAACTCACTTCTTTTTCGGTGTAGTAAATTCCAAATGTGATATCGGCATCATTTTGGGAGTAGAACAGGAGATCAGTCCCAGCCTCGGCATAGTAGCTTAGCGTCCTCGTTTTACCTGAAATTTGCGATAATCATCACGTGGAATTTT